GAACGCTAAATCACATGCTAATGTAACGAGATTAATACTTTGTAGCATTGTCGTTTACGTTTACTGTATAAGAAAAAAAATTATATATTACATATTCTACATAATTGTAAATTATCCCTTTTGTTCTTTTCTTACTACATATGTTTAATCAGAGTTAGATACAGTAAGGATAATAAATCTAATTTTATTATAAATTTGTCAAGGCGAAGCAATGTGAAATGTCGAAAAATCTTTTTTTTTTTTACTTTTTTCAGAAACGTTTTTACTTTTTTTGACGTGAATACGAATAAATATGCGAAAGGTGTGCGTGCGTGCGTGCGCGTTTGTGCGTGCGCAATTGGCGTGTGCGTATGTGTGAGCGAGTTTAATGTAAGAAAAGATGTGTGGCCGAGAAATTTGCGCATGTTTAAGAAGCCAGTATAAATAAAATAATAGTGATAATAGTAAAATTGATTTGCTCGAGACTAACGTTACACTTAAACTATTCATCACGTACCGTTGCCAATAATTGAATGAACGCTAAATCACATGCTAATGTAACGAGATTAATACTTTGTAGCATTGTCGTTTACGTTTACTGTATAAGAAAAAAAATTATATATTACATATTCTACATAATTGTAAATTATCCCTTTTGTTCTTTTCTTACTACATATGTTTAGTCAGAGTTAGATACAGTAAGGATAATAGATCTAAGTTTATCATAAATTTGTCAAGGCAAAGCAATGCGAGATGTCGAAAGATCATTTTTATTTTTACTTTTTTCGGAAACGTTCGGCGTGAATACGAATATGCCGAACGTAAAACAGGTAGAAAAGCATAAGTCACCTATGGAAGAATGTAAATGTCTGATAATACCTCGATAATTTAGCGTGATGACGAGGTAATCAATTGAGAAATTAAATGGGATTATTGATTATTCGATATACTTAAAAAATCGGATTTACTGTTATGTTAACCGAGAATCTCGTGATTAAAATACAAGAGTCTTTTTTATGTTTTCCAAACTTTCGAAGGCAATTGAATCGCCACTTGAGCTACGTTTCTATTGAAATTAATTTTTAGCGAAAATGTTTGCGAGAGTAACGTTTTTCCCAACCCTGTTTTATAACGTTATTATGGAAAGGATCACCGCTCGGAAATGTTGCGATAGAATAGACGAGACTGTTATATTGGGCGCATTACCGTTTCGGCGAACATCTAAGATATAATTTTATAAATTTGTATGACAAAAATGATTAAAGATATATTTCAAATTAGAGCAAGACACTATAATAAATTTTACATTATATTAATATTTTACATTTGTGCCTTTACAGCTTTTTATTTTATCTCATTTTATCTTCTCATTTTATCTTTATTGTTTATTTTTTAATAACATATACATAAAACAAATATTATAATTTGTGTTTTAATTTATAATATATATGTCTTCTTTAAAATAATAATATATTAAGAATGTATCAAAAGAAACGTATCAATCATTTAAACAAATAACTTTCATGCGTCAACCACTAAATTATAAATTCAAGTTCAAACGTCATTATACCTTACAATTTATATTTTACACTTACGTTTTCTTTTCTTTCTATCAGTTGATCGACGATGAAAACATCAAGGCTGTCGTCTATAAATGAAGATTACGAGTTGTTTTTATTGTCTAACACGAAGAAGATGCGCGGCAGTAAAACTTAGATAAAGTTATCTTAGATATATGTATATTATTTATAGAAGCCTAAAATTATAAATGTTTTTAAATGCAATTTTACACTGGCATTCCTTTTTAATTTATTATATTATATTATTTTATATATTATATATAAATATTACTTAAATTTAGAATTTTCTTATATGAACAAACAACAATATATTTTCAATTTAAGAATTCAAAATTTACGTGTTTATATACACTCAGCTCTATAACTCGAAAATCACTCGAATTTTTTTATTTAAAAGCCATTACAATCGGAAAATTGTACACTCTCGTACAAAACTTCCGTAAGTCGAATTTTTATGTTAATTCTGTTTTAATCAAATTTTGATAAATCAAAACTTATAATTCCAAGATTTTCATATTTCTGTTCCCTTGAGATTCGAGTTATCGACTGTATGTATGAACAAACAATAAAATATGTAAAAAAACTTTGTATATGTGTGCATATGTATGAGAGAGATGTGTATTTTTACATCAAAAAGAAAATAAATCTTACATTATTCAACACATATCAAAGAGTACATTAAATTACCTTCCCATTTTCCTAATCTCCAATCAATCACAGTTGCTTTCTGAAGTGTCGAATCTGTGGCCTTCTAATTATTATCTCAAGTAAATTGAACAAAATAAAAATTTTTAAAAAAGCAACTTCCTACAATAGAAAACTCGCAGGAGGCATAAATGCGCATGTTCTATTATTTTCTCTTAATTAGACTGTAGCGATTGCATCGCCACTACCCCGAATCGTTAGCCTGCAAAAAAGATTAAAAATCCAGCGAGCAAACGGAAAAGTAAATTCCATAGTCGTTACGTAAAGGCACAAGTCGTAAACAAGTACAAAAACCGGCGGGCCTATAACAAACACGATGACTAATAAACACGATGACAAGCAAGGGCAGAAGCGATAGGTTGAGCGACCGCGGACAACGAGAAGCCACGACTTGTCCGACTGTCTTCGTCGCAACTAGACGTGCGTTCTCGGCATCGCGTTTCTTGGAATAAAGGACATTTTTCAGTTGAATTTCGGAAAAGATTCTGTTTCTCGTCCAATTTCTACCGATCCTTCATCCAGCCACAGAGCGCTACTCGAAGCTATATATTTTCAGAGCGCTATATCGAATTAATTACTCGCCGCGCAAAGGTGAGCACCAAAAGACAAACTAAAAATTTCTAAAAAATTCAGTGTCTCTCCTTTGAAAACTTGCAGGAGGTGCATATGTATGCGTTTTATTATTATTTTTTGTAAATTAAATAAACTAAAATTTCTAAAAAAGCAACATCCAACAGACAAAAATAAATTACCCTTTATTTAATAACTAATTAATCGCGCCAATTACCAATATTTTTGATCAAATTGTGTTTAGGAAAAAACAAAGGATGGACTAGATTCGATATTGAAATTCTCGCAGCTTCTTTAGCACAATCGAATCGGACTTGCATAGAAATTTACTCCTGTTTAATCGCAAATTAATCGCGCCCGGCTCAATTTTTTCACCGCAGCAGTTTCGAAGAAAATTCATAGCATGCATTATATTTGATATTGAAATTTTCGCAGTCTCTTCAGCACAATCCAATGAGATATGCATAGAAATTAAGTAATGTTTAATCGTTAATTAATAAAAACTAGCCCGATTTTTTCACCGCAGCCGTTTCGAAGAAAACTCATGGGATGCGGTACTTTTGATACTGAAATACTCGCAGCTTCTTTAGCACAATCCGATGGGACGTACATTGAAATTAACTTCTATTTAGTAACTAATTAATCGCGCCTATCCCGATTTTTTCACCGCAGCCGTTTCGAAAAAAACTCGTGAGGTCCGCTATCTTTGATACTAAAAATCTCGCAGCCTCTTCAGCACAATCCGATGGGACAGATCGGAAGAGCACACGTCT